GATTTTAGTTTTAAAACCATTTTTCATTTTATTTTTGACCCATGTTACAAAATGTTTGGACACCCCTGGTTTACGTGATTTGACAGACCTTTCTCTCTAATGTATTGTTTTGAAACCAGTTTTATCTGTGTGGACTCAAACAAAGCCATTTATTACACATGACTACAGTTCTGTCCACCAAACCCTCCTAGGAGGTCCAGTGAGAGGAGCTTCAGCAGACTCACAGGCTGTCAGATCTTCATGTTTTCATTTTTCTATGCAAATTTCTTGCATTTTTGAGCCATTTACCTCAATCATTCATTTCAATGTGAACCAGTTGGTTCTGTGGTTTTAAATGTTAGTGAAGAAATCAATGCTGACACTGATCTTTCCATTAAAGTTTCTATTCTTCCCTTAATCTGGTCCTTCTTTTTGTTTGCTTCATGTTTCCATTGATCCATACATTAGTTTAATATTTCATTTTGTTTTTGTAGTTTCTCAACCTTAACTAAAATAAGATGTCTTGATCTGACATGAAATCTAACTTTTATTACTTTATTTAGGAAGAATGTTCACACATTTGTTTTGATTTTCTATTGTTTCTGTTTCTTGTGCTGAGCTCAAGTATTTTCTGGAGACCTAAAAACTTTAAATTTCTTGCTTAGGTTTTAACAAAAATATTAACACAACGTCTACATGTCAGAAGTTTGATTTATCAAACCTGAATAATAAAAAGTATTGGTATCAGTATAGATATTGGTGATACTTGCACTGTATTTATTTGGTATCGGCTCAAAAAAAAAACAGTTGATAGTTGAAATAACAGCAAATAATTCAAGAACGAGAGGAATGGGAGAATGCAACATACAAGACAACCTTTAGGTATGTTTATGATGAAGGAATGAGGGAACATGATGGATTTTACACAACACTGTCCCTTTAAATCCAGTGTTTTTCCTTTGTTATGCATGTGTCTCCAAATATCTACGCTGTTCCTGAGCACCATGTGTATGAGGAAGCTGGAGGAGTCCAGATCAGGGAAAATGATCATTTCTCTAGAATCAGATTCTAGAGCAATGATCTCGTCTAGTTACAGATAATTCATTCTGTTTACTTCAGACTGATCAGTGACCCCTGACCCCTAGCTTAACCCAGCATCTCTGAACACAGCAACAGAAGCCTTCATTCAGCCCTGCTGGAGGTTAGCAGTGTAACCATGTGCTGCCTGCTGCCCCCCATCTCTTCATTGTTGCTTCTGTAAATATTAGTTAATAAAACTCAGCCATGCCTCCCCCCACCCCCTGCTTTAACTCCTGCCGTTGCTGCCTGATCTCAGTTATTCTTTGGAATGCTGGGAACGCCAAATGAACTTCCCAGTCGCTCGGACATTACTGGATATTTCGCTGTAATTAAGGTAAGCTTTTACATAAGTTTTCCTTTGACTTCTGATTTATTATATTTTCAATTATTATGAAAACTTAATAACTGACATACACATTTCAAAATAATCCCTGCAGGAAAAATCTTTATTATATTTTCAGGCTTCCAGTATTTTGTGCTGCTGAGAATCAGGAAGTTGAAGTTGCTTCCAGCTAACAGAGTCTAAAACTTGTGACAAAAAGTTCATCTGGTGATAAGAGCAGATAATAATGATTAACACGGCCAACAAGGGGATCCATTGTGGCTCATGGCTCAGTGTTGCCATATCAAACAGCAGTGTCCTGTAAACACTCAGCTGAATGGAGCCACAGCTTCACCTTTGCAGATCTTAAAGACGAGTGTGTTGAATTTTTCCTTCTCACATTTAGAAGAAGAGGTTCAGGAAGGATGAATAGCTCCTGCGTCGGCTGTCTGAAAGGTCTGGTGGTGTCTCTCCACTTCCTCTGCTGGGTAAGGTGGTGAGGGCACCAAACACACACACACACACACACTGTGGCTGGTTAGATCCAGTCATCCTGCAAATATTAAAACCCTCACATATTTACTCCTTAATTGGTCAAGATTGAAGTCTTTATGTAGAATATGTAGCACATTTTTTATCTGTACTCACTAGTGGAGGCGGGCTCTGTCAGAGTGACACAGATACACACACACACACACACACACACAAAACTGTATTTCTGACTACATTAGGATTGTCTTGCTGTCTTTTTGCTTCAAAGATTATGATTTTGTAGTTCTAACATCAGTTGCTGTGCTGTGTGATCCTGTTGTCAAAAAGACAAGTACTATGAAATATAAATAAGATATTAGTGTTTTTCAGACTTTAAGTAATTCAGTAAATTCTTCTGTATAAAATATTAAGGAAAAAGAAATTAAATACAAACTGGCAAACTAAGGAACTGAACTAGACTGTGGTTGGGAGCAGCTATCTTTTATACACTTTTTGAAATGTAAGTAGCAAACTTTCCATCATTATGTCATTAATCCTTTAAAGTCTAACTCGCTGAACTCCAAATCAATATTAAAATATTTTCTTCTCACGTTTTATTAGCGTTTAACAATGCAGATTTCTAGTTTTTTTTTTTTTTTTCTATGTATATATAATTAGTTTAGTTATTTTCTTATCTTGGGCACCAACTTATGAATTATTCATTAAATAAATACCTACAAGCCTGAAATTAATAGTTTGAATAAAAATGACACATAATTACGTCATCAGAGGGACCAGTTTACTTCTCAACCACATAATTTATATAAAAAATAGTTTTAGAAGAAACATTAAGGAATGTTTATCATTTACTGCAACCATGAATGTATGAACATATACAAGTTTTGGAACGTACCCCAGTTCCAATTATTACCAACTTGTTTTGTTGTTAATAGTTAATGTAGATTACTTTATTGACCAAATCTGAATTTTTATCGGCAGCTTCGCCTGGCGACCCAGAGCGACATTACAACGTGTTGCAGGCATCATTAAATGGATAACATGAAGCTCATCCGTTCGAACACTGAAAGTCTTCTCTTTGTAGTGAATTCCATTGAACAAGGATTTGCAAACCATTATATTCTGTGTTTATTTATGTTTTACACAACGTTCCACCTTAATTGGAATTAGGGTTGGAGATGAAAAAGGGTAGACGCAAAACATGTCGAGTGAAAATCCAGGTCTGTGTTGTTTAGCCTGTTCAGGACTCTGTGCTGTGAGGCAGCAGCTCAGTGAGGCAGTGAACACACACTCAAGATGTGAAGAGGTTGTCTTTGCTGGTGTCTATAAAGGTTGTTAGACAGACTGAGGCCAGCCTCACTCAGCTGAACCTGCAACTCTCATAATGTGAGCTTTGCCTCGTCTCTCTTGCCTCCTGTGGAGCTGTGTGGAGCCTTCGTGGTGGCCTTCGGGGAATTCCAGATGATGCACTCCAGGTTCGCCTCTCTGGTCACCACCTTCTGGCCCATCTACCCTGCCAACACGCTTGTAGTGACCGGTACCATCGTCACCTGCGTTTGTTACCTGGGAGTACTGGGAGGCTTGAAGGAGAACCGCTGCATGCTCACCACTGTGAGTGGGAGGAAACGTGGCGTTTACTGCCTGAGTGGGCTGAATTCACTGAATGACCAAATGAGACGCTTCAAAAATAATCTGATTTTCTGTGTCTCAGTTTTATGTTCTGCTGTTCATCCTGATGCTGGTGGAGCTGGCCATGGCCTGTGTGTTCTTCGTCTACAACAGAGAGGTGGGAGACTTCTGGTATTTGTATGTCTGTTAGGGAATCTGCTTTGATGTCTTTTCTAATGAAGTGTGCTGAAACATCCTTAAGATTACTGTCGTGACCAAAACTACTTATATTTTTTTGTGATCTAAAACAAATGTTATGATTTGTAACATTGAATACTTTTGCTTTTATGATAATCTCTTCTATATTGGTGCACAGATCAGATCAGATCAGATATGCATGGATTTTACAAAAAGGCTGGAGTCACATCATAAGGTTCATTGACTGTCAAAAACCCATTGCCATTGTGGACAGTTTTGAAACTGATGGGAATGTAGTTTTTGCCAATTTTACAGCTCTAATGTCATGTAAAATTGAGTTGTTTGAGCTTTGCGTGACGTTATGGTGAGAATCAGACAGCCACCTTCAAAGATGAGATCACAGATGAAACTGTGATCTCTGAACTACGCCAGGCCACTGAAAAAGAGAAGACCTCTGGAACGCAACAAGATGGAGATCAGCAAGTGGAGAAAAGGCTGTCTAGGAAATCTATATACAAGAAAAAGAAAAGGGCAGCAATGAAAGCTGCCTTTGAACTGCAAACCCTAGAACACACTGAACAAGAAGTTTCCAGGACAGAAATGTTTAGTAATCAGACCGTAGACTTGAAAAATGAGATTTATACAGATGAAGTTTTGATCCCTAAACTACTCCAAGTTGCTGAAAAAGAAATGGCCTCTGAAGCACAAAAGAATGGGGATCAGCAAGTGGAGAAAAAGCTGCCTAGGAAATCTATTTACAAGATAAAGAGAAAGACAGCAATGAAAGCTGTGATTGAGCTGGAAACCCTAAAGAACCAAAAGATTTCTGAAGATAACAGTGAACAAGAAGTTTTAAGGACAGAGATATTTAAGAATCAGACCGCTGACTTGGAAAATGAGATTTATACAGATGAAATGGAGATATCTGAACTACACCAGGACACTGAAGAAGAGAAGGTCTCTGAGACGCAACAAGATCAGGATCAGCAAGTGGAGGAAGAGCTTTCTAGGGAATTTGATTATGAGAAAAGGAGAACAGCAGCAATGAAAGCTGCTGCTGAACTGGAAGCCCAGAATGGTTCAGAATCATTGTTTAATAAAAAAAAAACAAAAAAAAAAACATCAAAATGTGCAGGAAACCAAGGTGAGGAATACTGCAGCCTGACCAGAAGCTGAAACCAACTTGGGTTCTTTAGCAGGACCATGATCCAAAACACAGTAGCAAGTGCACCTGAAGAAAAACAAGATGAAGACGTTGAAGTGGCTTATAGTCAAAGTCCTGACCTGAATACTATTTAAATGCAGTGACATGATCTTAAAAAAAGGCTGTTGAAGCTGGAAAACCCTCCAGTGCAGATGAAATATAATAATTCTTCAAAGACTAGAGACCAAAACCGGTCAGAGTTACAGGCTACAAAAACAAGGGTCAGCACTAGTAACACCTGGCTAGTCTTTTTGCATACATTGAATTTAGTTGCTAAGGAAAGTGATGGGAACTTGAGACACATTTTGTTTATTATTGCAGAAATTTTTGGAAATCACTCAAAAAATTGTGACTTTGTGCCTCAACCCTTTCAGATGGTGCCCTGGGCAACTGCCCATATTTCGCCCATATCAAAACCACCACTGCATGCACATTTCCAAAAAAAATGTTTGTCCATCACTGTGACCACATTCACAAGTGGCTCTCCTCACCTTTCCTACGTGCAGCAAGTTGTCCTGACTGCCATGTCGGCCTTTGTCTTGAACAGATCGACACATACTTTGAGAAGGACCTGACCCACAGCTTGGAGGTCTACATGGAGTCTGGCCCAGAGGGGAACAAAACCATTAAGGAGGATTTTGATTCCGTCCAATACCTGGTAAATGATAAAACACTCATTTTAATGTCTCTGTTTATGAAAATACATATTTGGAAGATCCAACTGCCACAGTGTTTCTTGACGCTGCATCAGTTGTCACAAATTTTGATTAAGTGACACAGTGATAGATCCTTAACAGGTATTTTATGGTGTATACCTTTTTAGTACATTGACTAAAAAGCTGTACTAAAAAGGTTTCTTTATGACTGTAATAACACCCGGTTCAGCTTAATTCAATCTTATTCATATAGAGCCAGTTAACAACACGTTGCCTCAAAGCATTTTACAAAAAACAAAGTCAATTCAGTCAATCCCAATGAGAAAACAATGCAGTCAAGTTCAGTTTATTAATTAAATTCTTAAAAAAATAAATTAAATAAAACATTCCATCCAGAAAATGGGACTTTGTAAAATGTAAAACCAGTAACGTGAAGAGCAGTCGTTTGGTGCTTTGGTACATAACATAGAATGAATGTCCATATGACTTTTAACTGACATTTCTATACATTCACTCATCATGTAGACATTTTAGATCAATTGAAAATTTTCTTTGAAATATTCTCCATCTTTATTTAAAAAGGGAGAAATCAGAAATCTGTCTCTGGCTAAAGTTAAAAACAAAATGGTGAATTCTGGTCAATTGTGACGTTGCTTCTCAGAAAAACAATGTCACAATTGCTTTTCCCTGAACAGCTCACCTTTCTGTGCCCTATAAAATGAAGAGACCTGAGAAACACTTGAAAACCAGAAAGAACCCAGAGGTATTGAGGGGGCCAACTATTTTTTTCTTATTTTTTAACTTTGAATGAATGTCAGTTGTGCTTTGCAGTTTAGAGGGAGCAGCTTCTAGTTTCCGTGGCAACATTAACTCCTCCTCTGTCCAGTTTAAGTGCTGTGGAGTTCACGGCCCAGATGACTGGAAGGGGAAAGCTCCGCTGTCCTGCTGCACCACGGATCCCTGCAACATCGCTGACCAGCCCAACTGGCAGGAGGTGATTCACTGCTGACTCATTACATGAGCGGGCCTGTGGTGGGTCAGGAGATCAGTCTGAAATGTCTTCATTACATTTTATGATAGTCACCAAATGCTCTGAAAAGTTGGAAGAGTTTTGCTGAACATACATTTGAGACGAGGACAATACTAGCGAGGCCCAGCTCCAGTTTACTACTGTTTGTTTTTTAAAACATTTTAAAGATGGTTATTTAACACAGCAACACAAAGATGGCAGGGCAGGAAAAACATGAGAGTAGTCAATAAAGAAATTACACTGCTGTTATGCAAAAGGCACAACGGCTTAAAAAAGTATTCATATTGTTTGATATTTTTTTTTTTATTTTTTATTTTTTTTACAAATAGAGACAGATGACTCACTGTAACAAACAAAAAGAAGAAGAAAATACAAATTCACTCAATCATTTTCAGATGTTTATTTGTCAAACATTTTTGTCTCATTTTTGTTGTTTTTGCTTCATCATCAGGTTTGTGTTGGTTTTTCCACACAGACCACAATAAACTCCTCTGAAGTTTGTGCTTGAAATGAGACAAAGGGAAAAGTTCAGGAGGTCTTTATGCTTTTTGTAAAGCAGTGTAGGTTGTCATTAAGCAGATTCATTGCAGACAACAGGCATATATGGGTGAGGGTAGTTCTGATTGACAGAGGATGGGTTGGGGTATTTTAGTCCAAATGTGCTCAATAAAGAGCTGCCAGGCAAGAGGGAATGAATCATTTAGTTTAAAGCTGCTTTTTGTATTTGGTCAGGTTTTCTTTCTATATCTGTGATGTGAAAAATGTGTTTATCATCTAAAACTCTTTAATATTTTAACAAAAATCAAAACCCAAAAAAGTCTGTAACCTTTCAGTTCTGTATTTGGATGCAAACGTAGCAGAATGAAAGTCACAACAGAAGTTAATAAAGCAAGTGAGCTGCAGTGTTTGAATCAGGAACTGTGTTCACTAAAATATCCCTGCAGACAAAACTGAAAAAAAGAGAGACAACTTGAAACCTGTAGAAGCCTAAAACCTGATCCTAAGATTATATAGGAAAACAACAACAACTTTGTGTGGTGTACCTAGTGACTTTGTGTAGCTTTCAGAGGCAGCTCCCTCTGTGTCACTGTTCAAGCTGCAGGTCTGCAGGAATAAAGCCTCCTGTGTGTTTGGACCTGCAGGGCTGCCTGGTGAAACTCAGGAACTGGTTTGCTTCAAACTACCTCAGCACTGCGTCAGGAGTGGTCACCATGTTCATTATTCAGGTACAGTTCATTCAGCGTTCCTGTTTCTATAATCATGCTTTGACTTTATGAATGCACATAGAAGCTTATTGATACCAGTGTCCAGGTTACTGGTTCTGTTTGTAACCTTGAAAACCATATGGACTGATCAAATCGCTAAATATCCACATCCCTGTCAGATGTGTTGTATGTAGCAACTTCAACTTGTTTGAAGGGGGTTGTTATGGTAACCCAATATGTGCAGGGTGTGTTTTTCTCAGTTTAATCAAAGGAAAAGCCAACAATCAATCCCAACTGTCCATATGCAACCTGCAATGTGCAGAAACTCTATAACAACCCTTACCACGTCTATGAGGAAATGCAACTTTATATTTCTCAGCCTCCACTCGATCTCAGTTAACTTCAGTCACCAGGTGTCTAAAATATCCATGATGTCAGAGAAGTCCTTGTTTTTGGCACCAAAGTTATGATGAACATCACAAAGACACACCCAGGTGTTGAGTTAGAAAATCCTGTTCGCTGACTTTGGTTGTCATCTTTTTCTTCTAGCTGGAAAGAAAGTTCACCTTGTATTAATTAGACAGTTTAGTGAAATAAATTTCTTGAAATTGATGTGAAGTTTTAATCTTCATCAAAAAGATTCACTGAAATCTTTAAAAATGCCCCAATGTGTGCTTTTAATGCTTTGACATGACGTGAGCCGTGATTGGGTGCAGCTTCATCAGCATTCTCATCATCTTTGTTTCCAGTTCGTGTGCCTGAGCGTCACCGTCCCTCTGTTCTGCCACTTCAGGCGAAGAGGACTTGGTTACAAGTGAGAAAACGCTCCATGGACCAACTTAGAAAATCGTTCACGCCAACAATGTCATCTGGATCCTATGAAAGTGTTGCCTGTCACCCAGAAAGATAACACATGGGAGGGATGGTAGTGTAGTTCTAATTATTGATTTTGAGTTTCCAGCATGGTCCATACTCCACATTTCATCACTTTGCTGATTTAAAAAGCTCCTCTGAAATGTAGCAGCTCTTAATGCTGAAGCACAAAATCATATTCATGCCCACAGGTTTCAACCGAGACTTTGCTAGGGTGACTGTGAATCTAAGAATTTCTAATCAGTTCTCACAAAGCTTTTACTTGGTATTGAGCTTTTCAGAGGCCACAGGAAAATCCTGATAAGAGTCAACATGATTCTTATCATGTTTAATAATGATAAGTATCATTATTAAACATGATTCTCATTATGTTTAACTCATTATTGGCTCCTTCAGCTGATCTTCTGTGTATTAGTTTGGCTGCTCCTGCTCCTGATTCCTAAACAAATCTGAGAATGGGAAGTTCAAAGGTCACATGAGTCTATTAAACTGTGTTCAGTCTGAAAGTGCTTTTCATGGACTGTAATGTGTCAAATGTTGTGTTTTTTCTAAATTGTTTAAAACATTATTACAAAAATATTAAAAGTTAGATTAATGGCATGACTGTTAGAAATGTCATCTTTGAATTTCAGTGCATCTTTCTGTCAACCTAAAAGGTTCAGATTGTTTTACAGTTTTTCTCGATTGCTTACAGACCTTTTCTGGAAATTTTAACACAAGTCAAAAGCATAACCCTACGATTCTGCAAATTGAAACTTTACATTCAAAACAATCGTATTTCTTCTCAAAATTGTATTTTGTTTTCAGATGACACACACAAACCATCATATGAATACACATTTCTAAGAACCAGATGAACAGCAGCATAATTGGTTCAGGATTGGTGCATGAGTTACATAATGTCTCAAATACCAGTGTTTGTGTGGAAACTATCGAGAAAAACTGAGTGAGGCTCTATGCAGTTGTTATCATTAATAGTTTTCTTACCTGTAGTAGACAGGGAGTCACTGCGAGTTAATAAAAAAACCAAGAACTCTTCAGAGTGGTGGAATGCTAACTGCTAGCCAGTAGGCCAACAGCTTTCATAGCTAAAGGTTCATGTTGCTGTCAGGTTAAGCTGGTCGATGCTGCAGTAAAACCTGCAGTCAGTTCTAAATCTGCTAATATCAGCTTGCAGACTCAGTAAAAGTATTTCCACATGAAGAGACTGAAGTTTTTGAGTGACAATTTTAACAACTGTCTCTCGTGAAAGTGGAAACATTTCATGTCTGTTAGAGTTTTATCCCAACACTCATTTAACTTCAGCTAATAGCAGAAGCTATCTGGCTAGCAGTTAGCCTTCTATCACTGATGTTTGTCTACTACATATATCTGAACCATGTCTTTAAAACATTATATTTACCTCTAAGTAGTCTTAGAAAAACTCATATTTTTGTCATTACTGCATGTATGTTTTGCTGATTTAATTTGATTTTGTGCATCAAAATGAACAGCTTCATTCGACAGACTGTAAAACAGGAGTTCAGCTGGTAGTTTACCAGGGAGCTAAATGGACTATGTGCTTTGAAATGTGGCTTGTTTTGTGTGACTGACATTATTTTTAGATTGTTAGTTATGTAGATAATCAGCAGAGGAAACCTGGCCTTGTCGGGTCTGAGCAGCTTCTGCTGAACCGGATCACAGACAGACACTCAGGCCGTCTGGTGACTGTCTGCCAGCATCAGCTGTTCAGTCAGGTAATATTTTAACAAACATGGGAAAAAAATACTTTAGTAGTTTTAAAGAATGTTTTGTTCATGGAACCCGTATGATTTTGGGACTCTTGTTTGTGTGAACAACATGATTAGCTAACAGCCTGTCGGTGACGGTGAACCCATATGGGGCCCGACGGCAGCATGTGATAAAAAGTCCTTCATTATGTGCATGAGGCGTGACCAAAATAAATAAACAAGTAAAAGTCTCTCACTGATTTCTTGTTTGATGTCAGTTGGTTCGGTATCATGGTTCTTCTAACTGACACAATATTCTTGATTTGTCTTCAGGTAAAGAACCTTTTTTATAGGAAATAAATTGTTGAAACCTGCAGACGTCTAAAGCTCTTCAATAAAGATGGACAAACAAGACGCATGCAGACAGAGGTGGACAAAAAATGATGTACACAAGTAATATGATAGATATGGGAGCTCGTTTTAAGTAAATAATTGTTGATGAAAAAGTACTAGTTCTATTGGCAGATGAATTCAAGACAATTCCCCCATGTAATTTGTGAAATAATCAACCAATGGGACAAGTACTTTTTCATCAATATTATGGAATTATTTACTTAAAACAGGATTGTTTCTTTTAAGTCAGTTGTGTCTTAATTTAAGTTGACTAAGGTATTTGTGCTACTCCTTGATTTCATAAAGGAAATGAGAATTTATTGGTGTGAAAAATATTTTAAATTGATGCAGCACCCTGTGATCTGATCATGTTTTTGGTTAGTTTCATATACATATCACAAATGGATATGATTTCAAATGTAGTGAAGTAAAATACTTTATTCAGAACACACTGAAGTAGAAGTAAATGTTTAGGTTTTGTAAACTACTTTAAAAAGTACAAAGTGCAGATAAATTGTGTTCCAGTAAAGCAAGTGAATGTAACCAGTCCAAAGTTGACTTTAATTATCCATGGACAGAATTAAAGCTGACACATATGCTGTATTTAAACGTTTGACATTTCTCAATAATTTTGTCAAGTGAAACACTGAAATGCATCTGAATAGACAACTTAATGATGTCGGATTATAAATCACATATAAGGCTTCAAAAAAAGAACAATATTTTATTTTTGCTATGCATTACGATTTATAAAAATGTATTTGACTGGAACACTATAAAGCTTATCATCCAAATGTGCCCAAAATTCAGTTCCTTTGAACAACCACCAGGTGGCAGCAGAGGACCCCACATTCGCTCTGTGCAGAATGAAGAGCAGGAACGTTTCACGTAGAGAAGGCTTTAAGCTGCTGGCTGCTTCATTAGCATGTTGTTTACTTTGTTGTCAGAGAGCAGCTTAAAATCATTCATAACCAAAAAAACAAACAAACAAACAAACAAAAAAAGAACAGCTGGGGATTAAATTACATAATTCATATAAACAGTTAAAATTATTATGAAGTGTCACCTGCATGTAAATTATTGCAGCGTCGTATGACTGGTCGACATGTCCCTAATGTAATTGATTGACCCTGAACAGCGTTTCCTTTCAAACTAACTCCACCCAAATATAATCCACTGGCTGCTGGACTTATTGCCCAGTTATGACAGAAGGATGAAGCTGAGCTGTGTGAGCTGTTGGATACCAAGAAAACAATCAGTGTTTTAATCTCACCTGTGGGGGCAGGAACAGGAAAACACACACTGCTCTAAGCCTGCTTGGTTTTTATATGAAAAATAAACCACTGTATAGAAAAAAAAAAACAAAAAAAAACTTTAACTCAAATCCTTAATAAGTTTAATAAAATCTGGAATCTGAAAATTGTGGAGGGCACTTAACCTCTCATCTAGAATATTTTAAAATACATTTCATATTTATCAACTAAAAAAAAACATCATGGTTGGAACAGAGAGGCTCATCTCATACTCTCTATGTCTTTATTCATGTTTATATTGAAATGACTTCATTTCAATATGAACTTCTAATAGACCTCTGCAGGGTTTTACTGTAATGTTAACTCTCTCTTTGTGAAACACGTTGTGATTTCTAGTTGAGAAATAGATCAAATTTACTTCTTTACTAGCATGAAGTCATGGCTTTATGCTGGCTCCTGTAACCGTTCCAGACTGGAGGTGGCGATATTATAGTGTTGTGAATATTTTCTGGAGGCCTTTAAGTACCAACTGAGCATTTGTTGCACGCAACAACACTCTCCTGTCCACCTGCTAGTGGTGAACAGGAGAGGACACTGGAAGATAAACCAGTTTAAACTGGTGTCTTGAACATGAAAATAAGTTAATCGTTCTCCACAGTCATTGGATCTCCATCAGACAGAACCTGGACGTGTAGCTGACAGTGTTACAGAATGTTGGGCCAATATCTCAAAGGATTGTCTGACATCTTGTTGAGTCTATGCTTCTAAAACGGTACAGTCTCTCAGTCTATAGTGTATGATAAACTTCAGATGTTTGAATAAAATGTAAATCATTTTTGTGGAAATATTTAACATTTTCCAAAACTCATTTTTACATGACACATACTGTCACGACACATACTCATTTTTAACTCCCCAACTGTCACCCAACAAAACCACCTGCATGCAAGTCAGAGGGTTCATGACTCACTGACTCAAGCAACAAGACTTCAGAACTGTAATGTAGTCTTCATTTGATGTTCTCATTTGTGGCACATATGCAGACAAACTCACACTAATTTTCACACACTCTGTGCTGGCAGCTGTCCAGTAGATTCACAGGGTCACACACTTGTGAGTACAAGAAAAACGCATATAAGCCAAATAGGTCGTGGTTGAGTTATTCTCTTCCTCCACTTGGAGAAGTTATTGATTTGCTGTCATGTGTGTCGTTGCCCTGTTGTTCTTCAAGCTGCAAATGTCGACTTCTCCTCCTTCCCCCACTCTCTTCCATTCCTCTTGCTGTTCTGGGGCCTCTGGACCCGTTCCTTATCGAAAACAAAGCAGGTTTCACAGGTAAGTGGGTCAGCGCACAGTTGAAGTTGTGAATCCCTCTGGCTTCAGCACATGCTCGTGTTCCTTACGTGTTGCCACCCTGCCAACTGCTCCCCTAAGACATCAGACATGTGGCGGCAAGGCACGTTTCTCCGTAGGAAACTCAATCAGCGTGCCAAACGCTCTGTTCATTTTAAAACACCTTCCTCATCTTTTCTTTCTCTTGCTTGTTTGCTTTGTTATCTCTGTGGCTGTAGTTTTGTTCTGAACTTCTATCACAAAATGCTTCAAGAGCTGCGTTTCTATTAACCATAGAACTGCGCAAATAAAAATTATGAACATAAATTAGCTTAAAGGAAACTCTGATTTTGAAAAAAGAAAAATAAACAAAAAAAACTGGTGGTTTTTCAGCCGTATCAAAATGGACACACAATTAACAGCCAGATGTTACTACTGGCAAAAATGACAAAGAAGACAACAGGAAGTGATAGGAGGATGTTACGCTTCTTTTTTTTGTCGGACAAATGTACAGTTGGCTTCACCAGAGCTCTTACAACATCGCACAGTTCATAAAACGTGTCATTCCACGTTGAAATCTGTAAAATCACCAACTACAATTTCACCAAAACACCACATGCAGCCACTCCCAGGTACAAACAGCTTGTCACTCCAGTGCCTGGATAAGATGCCAATGTCTGCCATTATTTTAATGACTTATCGTGTGATCAAACTTACACATGTGATTTTAATTTAATTTCTTATTTAATGCAAACACTGAAATAGCAATTTTTTTATACATAATATAAACAAAGATTTGTCACATTTGGAATGGAAACGCAGTTTGTGTTTATCAGAGGTACTGAAGGGTTTTCAAATGCAGATGGTCAGATGGAGAATCGTTTTTTTTAGTATGCTCTGACCGCCTGCCCATAATTCAAGTTTTTCATTCTACTACTGTTACATTAAATGTGGCTTGCTTTAATGCTGGATGCAGTTTTGATTTTAAAAAGTCATAATTAATTAGGATACCATCTTCAGAAATGGTTTATGTGGAACAAAGTCTGAATGATACGCCGGAGATGCTGAAGGCAGGAAGAAACAAATCAAAAGCTGGTTGTACCTTGACTAAATGTGACAAATGTGGAATATCTTTGCAAGGGACTGCATATGTCACTGTATGTACACTGTAAAAAAAATTTTAAAGTACCGGCAGCAGTGGTTGCCAGAATTTTACTGTATTTACATGGTAAAATTCTTTTTTTATACAGTGTGCACTTAACACGTGTATTAAACTGTATATGGAGAAGTCAGCTAATCAGACTTGCTGTGATTAAAGGGATTATAGACTGAGTGACTCATTGTAATCTATGTTTAATTCAGACTTCAGACTTTGATCAGGTCCTTTCTCTGATGAAGTGTTTGAGGTATAAATGCAGTGTGTGTGACTGAGGCAGAGAGGCCAGCTCATTACTGGATATTAGTTCTGATTCAGTCTGTGTCTGTGACTAATCCACTTTCAATTAAAGTATTTATACAGCAACAAACATCATACACTCAGAGCGAAGCTCTCAGCTGTGTGGAAGTTTCCACTGTTAATAGAAATGTTCCTTTTACTTTCATATTTATTGGAATTAAATATTCAACTGTATTCAATCTTTAATGTCACCTGTCTTTGAAAACTAGAATAATCTGCCATGTTTTCTGCTTTGGGATTTGGAAAAAGTCCATTTTAAAATTCTGACATTTAATCTCTCATGTGTGAAATCCTGCAGTATTTTGGGGTATTTTTAGTTTTTGCCCATCATCTGCACATCAAGTTGAGCCAAAGATCATCTTTTTGTATGTAATCATAATTAGAAAGAAATGCTACTAACTTGACACAAAAACACTTTTCAAAAGCCGGATTAAATCAGCCAGATGTGGAAAAATCACTGAATGGTTTGGAACAAAACTGAAAATTTTTTGTGGTAGAAAATACATTTAAAGAAAGACGACTTGGTCTGCTTACTCCTCGTTTTAATTGGATTTGACTGTTGTTAGGGATGATTAAATGAGCTAATCAAACCTGACTCTTAACGTCTTTGTTTTGATGGTTAGGGAAATGACTTGCTCACCTGGAAAACCTTCCACCCCAATTACTCTAAAGCAATGGTGGCCAAACTGTTTGTCACATGAACAACTAAGCATGCAAGAGAGTGCAAAAGTCCATCCATCCATCATCCAACACGTTTATCCACAGCGAGGTCGTCTCCACCTGTTTCAGGTGGCAGGTCAAATTTATGTCCTTTCAGAATTATAGTGATGGACTGCACAAAATCAGCCCAGCTCTACAAAAAGTCGCCTTTCAAAAACAAGACAGAAAAGTACAAAACTAGAGTACATATTACAATAAAAATACTCTAGAATAAAAAAAAAGAAATGATCTTGTCAGAAGGAAAACAAGGATAAATCTCCTTAATTTAAGATATTTAATCTGACTTAGATTTCA